GTTGGGGCTGTTTGGAAGTATATCCTTTCTGAAATAATGCAAGCAATGCTTTAGCTAAATTTAATATTTAAGGAGATGTATTTGTCCAGATTCGAGTTATGCACACTCTTATTAAGTATTTATAGAATCTGCCCTGGGCCTGATGTTGGGTCCACTGCTGTTAATACCTCTACTCTTCAGATTACTACAGTGAGAGTTAAGCAACTATTTGGCTGTCTAGGCTGAGAAGACTAGTTTTTGCAGGGTTATGTTCTCATTAAGACAAAATCAAGAAATTATTTGGGAAAAGAAGTAACAGGCAAAAATTGCTAAAGGTAATGCAGCTGATGTTATCTTTCCTATCAAACTGATACGCTTACTTTTATGCCAGAATTGACATGAGATGGGACAGGGGTTGATAGCAAATGAACCAAAGTCAGTTTACTGAAAGAAAGTGAGTTTAGGAAGCAGTTGAAAGTTTGAAGTGAGATAGTTTGAGCATCAGTCTAGCAAAGAAGCTTAGCACACTGTAAGCTTGCAAATTATTCCCATCACACTTACCAAGTTAACTGTACCACCTGGCTTCTTCAAGAGTGCACCATGTCCCTTGTTACCTCCATCTTACCCACTCTCAGATCATGCCTTGAGCATCCGTCCTGCTTCTGAGTATTTGGTTGCACTTGAGAGCAACGGCTCTACAAAGGGACCGAACAGCCTCTATAACAGAAAATATTAGTAGTGTAGAACTAAATAGTTTAAGTAAAAACAGACCTTCAGAACAATAAATCAATCTATACACATGCTTGCTTTTGCCTAAGGGTCATAATTCTCAGGAACTGGGGAACACCCACCTTCCTCAGACTCTTTTTCCACAGCCTCCCCCGGTGGCAGCCTATCTTTCCACACAGGGCCTGACAATTGAATCCCCACTCCTTTCCTAGGAATGTCTTTTTAACTGTTTCATGCTCTTTGAGCTCTTTGTGCTCTGCATTGGCAGAGCAGCAGTGTCACTTTGGCCTGGAGCCTGGAAGTATGTAATTGTCTGCAATTGCTTCCTCTTTTGTGACTGTTGGGAGGCTCACAGATTCATAGCTCTTGTGTTGTTTTCTCCAAATATCCTCATCCCTCCTCCTAGTATTGAATTGGATCCATTATTTTCTTCATGAAGCTCTAACAATTCACCATAGTTGAATAGTTAACCCAGTCTTCTGGATACAACCACTAGCGTTCATACAATTTTTGCACCTTTTGGTCTTAGGTTATTATCTTGCACCTCCACGCTGATCAGGGTCTCACTGAAGTCGGTGGGAAGTAGCGCAGGAAAAGCCTGAGCAAGAGGAAGGTATGCAGGAATTTGCCACTGTGAGAAATATGACTTGAACCAGGCATGAGTTGACAGAAGCAAGGTGGTTTTGCCTAAATCTTGTTAGTTTCATGGATGGGGAGATGAAGAATCATTCAGTGCCAGTAGAGAAAACCAAAGAAGTTGACAAAAAATTGCCAGTGGCAATTAGAAGTTATTTTCCAACGGAATTAAGACTATTGCCCTTACTTCAAAGGTAATCTTTTATCTGCTTTTCTAGATCTTGCAGTTTAAATGGTGCTGAGGTTCATACCAAAACACATCCTTTTGCTCTTCCAGAAGGATTAGGTTATTTTAATTTTACATTTAATAAAATCCTAATTTAGTTGAATGATCAGTCTTCAGAAGCTACACTTGCACACTGTAGAAATTGATACCAGCTCTGCTGGTTTATGATTTAACACTGTGGAAGGCTAATGATTGCCTTTGTCTCCATATTTCACCGGTCTGCCTACTTTTCTTTTATAAATACAGCTGTAGATTTATACAGTTCTCCGTGCTTCCAGTTTTAACTTGGTCATAAACTAAGCCTCCTAGCAATGAGCCTTTGGTGTGCTATCTTTACATTTCAAAGGACATTTCTTGCTGAAGAAGCATACGTACGGGTCATATTGGCTTCAGTGAGGCTCTAGCCAATCACTTGAATCTTCCTGCACAGAGAGCAGGATGGGGGCCAAGAGACAGCGAGCTGTCCCAAACCCACACAGTGAGTCAGTGATATGGTTGGAACTGGAACTGAGCGGCTGCTAGCTCTCAGCTTTGTCTTAGTGCATTAGGGAGTAATGCTTCTCATCTTCTGCATTCCCGTTGGTATGAATAAATAGGCTCAAACTCCAAGGAATTTCACAAAAGCTCCCAAAAACTTGAAGACCGCAACCATACTAGTGAGACCAGAACCTCTTACATAATCCTAGAAAAATGGGTAGCACAAGCTTAAGGTTGTCATTTATCATTCTGGAGGTTGTGGATCATTTTTTTCAAGCGCAGTCTAAGGGACACAGAAGTTCTGACTTCCTCCCTCACAGAGTGGTGGTGTTACTAGCATTTTGCTGTTTCAGGCGGAGACAGCCTTTCTCCAAATAGCTATTTCTCTAATAGAAGCAGAACATTTAGAGATGTTACGCTGACCGTGACACTTAACGGGACCTGCTTTTTAGAAAATAACCCCTATCACTGCGTTATCAATGGTTCCATTCCGTATGAGGATTTTTGTTTTGAATTAACGTGAGACCCACAGAGAGCTGTGCTGCCTTATGACCTGGTGTGTTAGGCAAGCAGTGGGTAAACTCTCCTGGAAGGGGGATATTTAGATGGGACAAAGACTGGAACTAAAGATTCCCTGACATTTCCTGAGAATAACATCTGGATCTGTGTGAACTGGTTTGGTAAATATTTCTGTATGTTACATATGCTGTCATTTGCATGATAAGTAGTCTGAATACCCGCATATATTACACTGCTTCTATAAAACAGTCATTCTGATAACCTCAGTAGTACCTGTACAGTCCCCGGGATTTGATACTAATTTACTTCCAAATAACATTTCATTTTCTTATTTCAATGATGTCTACCAGTGAAGGGAGCCAGCTATAGTTGTATTTGAAAAAAAGGAAATTACATGATAGACGTGCTATTTTATATCTGACTTTGTAAGAGTGGCTTTTGATGGGTTGGAATGAGTCTGACTGTTTGGAAAAGATCATGGGAAGATCAATGTCACAGATACTTTTCCTCCTTCAGATGCGAGTAGATGTGAAGCAGAAGAAAAGGTGGCGTTTTAGGGAAAAGAAAATGTCTTTGAATTTTTCGGCATTCTGTATCATTCCCGTAAGCTTCTATTTAAAGCTATCACCACATTTTGGCTGCCACTTTCACTGAATCTATTTAAATATGTTTTTACGGTGAATTACTTGGGTGTTTGACAGTTTTGTTCTATATTATGCTGCAGCAATCTATCTGATTTGCAGTCAGATAGAAAGTGTTACAGCTTGAAAGTAATAGGTTTCAAAGCCTTTTTTCCACCACCTGTGCATGTAAAAGTCTTCCTATGTTAATAAAATATAAGGCCGTCAAATGAAGAGAACAGCTTGTTGGAAGTGCTGGAAAAGAACTGACGTTTAAATTAATTTTTGAAAGTATAAATTTGAAACTTATGAAAAGAATGAGGTGTGTCTGGTGAAGTTGGATAAAGGAGAGATGAATGCGAAGGCAGTTTTTTTAATGTGCTTAGCAGACCCAGCTGGAGTCTTATTTTCAAAATCTGGCCCTTACCACACACACAAAAAATATTTAAAAATAACAGTAACACAAAGTCTGATTCTCATATTGCCCTGTGTAGCCTCGGTGAAATAGCAGACATGCAAGTGGTCTGGAGATGAACTGCAAGGAACCAGCCAAAGATATGTCATTTCTTCAATATCATTTAACTGTTGTTTCTTTTTTGCACTGTTGGATAACGATGAAAAGGCAGAGTAAGTGTCATCTAAAGTCTATATTGTTGGCAAGAGCAAGCCAATATAGAATTTACATTTTTATTTTCCACTTTCTTATTTATAAATAACATTCTCATCTCTCAAAAAAAAAAAAAAAATTACACGTCTCTCATCATCTAATGCCATCATATAGAAAGGGTTTATGTAAGTCTTTGAAGCTCAGAGAATTCATAACTTAAATCTGTATTATCAGTGTTTCAGTAATCACATATGTTTGTAAGGTTGATCTACAAAATGAGTAAAAACTGTAAAGAAACATTTTACAGTGTGCCATTGAACCCACCAGACTGATTCCGGCAGGCTCCCAGTCTGAGTATAGCCCTCTGCCTTTCACAGTTTGTTCCCTATCTGTGTGACAAAAAGGACGTTTATCTCATCAGAAATGTGGCATTTGGTGGCATTTCACAAGGCCCTAATTTGGTACCATTCGCCAAGTCAGGAAGCACTAAGAAGTGGACCCTCACTTCTGGAACCTGCTCCTCTCTTTACATCCGAGCAGCCCAAGTGCATTCATCCCCTGTGGTCATGTAAGCCTTGCTGCTCACCCTCAGCTTTGGAAAGAGAGAGGTGTCCGCAGTGACGTGCACCACCTTGGTTGTAAACATCATGTTCCATGTTCCATGGCAATTTTTCATTTCTATTTTAAGTTAGAGAGTGAAAAATGAAAATTTAGGTTAAGATATTTTGCCATTTTAAATACAAACAAAATTGGGTGAAAGGGAAGATAGCTTGGTGAGAAACTTTGTTTAAACTGTAGCTGAAGTACTGAGGTCGGGAATGGATGAAGAATGATTTTTAAACAGTCATAAAAAGAAAAGGAGCTTTCTTAGCAGTGTTTGGTATGAATGCTCTGAAAGGTAAACTTCATGTCATCCAGGGTACTTTAAATCCTGATACATTTGAGTCTTCAACTACGGTAAGCACTGATTGTAACTAGAATTGATTATGCCGTTGATTATGCCTGTCCTTGTAAGTGCCAGAGTCTGATGGTATGGCAACAACAGCCACAGAGTGCAAGTGCTATTTTGTGGAGCGTGCTAATGAAAACATGGGACATAAAGTTATCCACTTGTGCCCTCAGGCCTAAATTTTTAAGTTATATACTGCACTGTCTTTGGAAATGGTTTTGGCCTACAGGAATATTTATAAATTTTGTCTCTCTTCAGAGTTAAAGAAGCAGAGGAAGTCTGCAGGCAGAAAAAGGGGAAGTCGCTGTACAATATAAGACCAAAACATGACTCCGGAATTGTAAGTAAAAATTGTAGCAATACTTCTGTTCCCATCGCTCGTTCTACCTTTTTCTCTTTGCATTTTGTAGGTATGTTATTCTTGGTGTACTTTTTTGTTCTGGGTTGGTTTTTTTTTTATTGATGTTTAACATTTTCATAGAAGGTGTTAGATTAACAAACTTGAATTCTGTCTATGAATATTACTCCACAAAACAGATGTAGCACAAGCAAGAGCAGTGTATTATTGCCCCACCCTGCCCATCTGTCTGCATCCCAGTCGTGGTGTGGGATGCACCTAGAAAGGCAGTTCCAGTCTTCGAGCTTACTCAGCCTGTATTCGCTCTCTTTTCTACAGTTACAAAATATAAGGAAGAATTGTGATAGGTACACATTTTTCAGGTTGGATCCCTGTATCAAGTACTAGTGGCTTCTGTTCCACTGATCTGGATTTGTTTGGAATAGAAACTTTAGAAAAAGATAATACTGTGCTCTCACCATTCTTCTGAAAACAGATAAATGACTTTAATAGTAGAGGAGTAATTCTAGTCATTCAATGAAACTTTTCCACTATGATTGCCTAAGCCTTACTAGGATCATGACTGATTTTACAGAAGATGAATATTCTTCTCTAGTGAAAAACTAATCTGGCACCTCATATTAAAATTATACCTGTAGCAACTGGCCACCAATTATATTGCAAAATATTATAACAGAAGATTTTTTCATGTGTCCGTGTCCCTGCCTGTCCCCTCCTCAGGCATGATTTAATTCTTTTGTGCTTTGTAGTCATGACTATGTTACTGTGAAACAACCTTGAAATGAAGCAGGTGGTAACTTACTGTATTCTAACTAACATAATCTGACACAGGAAGAAATAGTATTGCATTTATTGTTTCTTATTCTGAATATTTAGGAAGAGTTGGCTGTGGTTAGTGCCACAAGAAATGTAAGTGGAGTAACAGCTTGGTTAAGAATGATAAACTAGATTTTATTTTATCAATTTTATTTGAAACCAGATCAAGATGTTATTACAAAAAAAACCAAAACACACACTAACATTGATTTGGATTTTTCCATCTCACCTATATCTTGCCATATGTAAAGACACTGAGCGTTTGTTTGTTGTTTTTTTTTTTTTTAAGAAATAACTATAGGCTTAATTATTCCTGTATCATTGCGATCATTATTTCACTGAAACAGGGACTTCCAGTGCTACTGAAAATTTGATAGGGTGAAAAGGAAAGTAAACAAAAATATTTCACAAGCAGTGTCTAGCTGCAGTCTACTTCAGTTCTAGCTTCAAAGGAAATTTATTTGTGAAGTCAGTTCTGCAGTAAGTATAACTGAACATTAGCCTATGTATTTCTGTGCTTTTCATATTTGTGTGGGGTGGTTTCAATTTTCTGCTTTTTTTATTTATTTTATTTTTCAGAAAGCAAAGATAAGTATGAAAATCTGAGAGAAGAAAAGCAAAAGCCATTGTTACCTGGTTACCAAAACTCAACATGCCTGTGGGTGGGGAGTGAGGGGGAAGGAAACTACATCACCTTGATCATTTGCTTTCTTGATCTTTTTGAATTTGCTTTTTGTTCTCTAGAGTTTTCCACCAATTGATGTGTTATTGTACATTCATTTACGAATGTAATCACTTTAATGGAGTGCCCAGCAATAGACTAGGTATGGACTTGAAACACCTTCCCTGTACTCTGTATCTCCTTTGCCACTCAAAAATGGTATTTTGTAAAGTGTATGGTATATTACAAATAGGCCAAGTCAGCATGCATAAAAAGTGGCATCTGCATCAGTTCTGAACATGCTGAAAATTACATTAAGTTGAACTTCATAAGAATGCTACTCGGTACAGTAAAACATTTCCATTCCTACTGGCAACATCTGTCTAACACAAATACTTCATGGCACTGCACTTAGATT